AAGTACAGATATAGTATGGGATGTCCTGTATAAGAACTGACCATTGTTTTTTTCTACTTATTTGAAATAGGGTCTTTATAGCACTTTATATTAGCTTAATACCCCGTTTCTCCAAAATGCTGCAGTAAAAAGATTTAATGTGAAGTGCACATATAGTATGGGACGTCCTGTATAAGAACTGTCCATTGTTTTTTTCTACTTATTAGAAATGGGGATTTTATATCACTTTATAATATGTTAATACCCCGTTTCTCAAAAATGCTGCAGTAAAAAATATTTCATGTGAAGTGTACATATAGTATGGCATGTCCTGTATAAGAACTGTCCATTGTTTTTTTCTACTTATTAGAAATGGGGTTTTTATGTCACTTTATAATAGGTTAATACCCAGTCTCTCCAAAACGCTGCAGTAAAAAAGATTTCATGTGAAGTGCACATATAGTATAGGATGTCCTGTATAAGAACTGACCATTGTTTTTTTCTACTTATTGGAAATGGGCTCTTTATAGCACTATAAAATATGTTAATACCCAGTTTCTTTAAAATGCTGCAGTAAAAAGGTTTCATGTGAAGAGCACATATAGTATGGGATGTCCTGTATAAGAACTGACCATTGTTTTTTTCTACTTATTTGAAATGGGGTTTTTATAGCACTTGATATTAGCTTAATACCCCGTTTCTTCAAAATGCTGCAGTAAAAAGGTTTCATGTGAAGTACACATGTAGTATGGGATGTTATGTATAAGAACTGACCATTGATTTTTTCTACTTATTAGAATTGGACTCTTTATAGCACTTTACAATATGTAAATACCCTGTTTCTACAAAACGCTGCAGTAAAAAGGTTTCATGTGAAGTGCACATATAGTATGGGATGTCCTGTTTAAGAACTGACCATTGTTTTTTTCTACTTATTGGAAATGGGCTCTTTATAGCACTTTATAATATGTTAATACCCCGTTTCTCCAAAACGCTGCAGTAAAAAAGGTTTCATGTGAAGTGCACATATAGTATGGCATGTCCTGTTTAAGAACTGACCATTGTTTTTTTCTACTTATTGGAAATGGGCTCTTTATAGCACTTTATAATATGTTAATACCCCCTTTCTCCAAAATGCTGCAGTAAAAAGGTTTCATGTAAAGTACAGATATAGTATGGGACGTCCTGTATAAGACCTGACCATTGTTTTTTTCTACTTATTTGATATGGGGTCTTTATAACATTTTAAATTACATTAGTAACCTAATACTCCAAAATGCTGCAGTAAAAAAGATTTAATGTGAAGTGTACATATAGTATGGGATGTCCTGTATAAGAACTGACCATTGTTTTTTTTTCTACTTTTTAGAAATGGGCTCTTTATAGCACTTTATATTATGTTAATACCCCCTTTCTCCAAAACGCTGCAGTAAATAGGTTTCATGTGAAGTACAGATATAGTATGGGCTGTCCTGTATAAGAACTGACCATTGTCTTTTTCTACTTATTTGAAATGGGGTCTTTATAGCACTTTATATTATGTTAATACCCCCTTTCTCCAAAATGCTGCAGTAAAAAGGTTTCATGTGAAGTACACATACAGTATGGTATGTCCTGTATAAGAACTGACTATTGTTTTTTTCTACTTATTTGAAATGCGGTCTTTATAGCACTTTATATCAGGTTATTACCCCGTTTCTCCAAAACAGTGCAGTAAAAAGTTTTTATGTGAAGTACACATATAGTATGGGATGTCCTGAATAAGAACTGACCATTGTTTCTTTCTACTTATTGGAAATGGGGTCTTTATAGTACTTTATATTATGTTAATATCCCATTTCTCCAAAACAGTGCAGTAAGAAAGTTTCATGTCAAGTACATAGTATGGGATGTCCTATGTAAGAACTGACCATTGTCTTTTTCTACTTATTAAAAATGGGGTCTTTGTAACACTTTAAATCATATTAATATACAATTTCTCCAAAACAGTGCAGTAAGAAGGTTTAATGTGAAGTACACATATAGTACGGAATGTCCTGTATAAGAACTGACCATTGTTTATTTCTACTTATTTAAAATGGGGTCCTTATATTACTTTATACTATGTTAATTCCCCCGTGTCTTTAAAATGCTGCAGTAAAAAGCTTTCATGTGAAGTACACACAGAGATAAGGGTGTCGTGTATAAGATCTGACCATTGTTTTTCTCTACTTATTTGAAAGGGGGACTTTATAGTACTTTTTTTCTATGTTAACACCCCGTTTCTTTAAAATGCTGCAGTAAAAAGGTTTCATGTGAAGTACATATATAGTATGGGATGTCCTGTATAAGAACCGACCATTGTTTTTGTCTACTTATTTGAAATGAGGTCTTTATAGCACTTTATATTATTTTAATACCCCATTTCTCCAAAATGCTGCAGTAAAAAAGTTTTATGTGAAGTACAGATATAGTATGGATGTCCTGTATAAGAACTGACCATAGATTTTTTCTACCTATTTAAAATGTGGTCTTTATAGTATTTTATATTATGTTAATACCCCGTTTTTTTTAAATGCTGCAGTAAAAACGCTTCATGTGAAGTACATATATAGTATGGTATGTCCTGTATAAGAACTGTCCATTGTTTTTTTCTACTTATTAGAAATGGGGTTTTTATATCACTTTATAATAGGTTAATACCTAGTTTCTCTAAAACGCTGCAGTAAAAAAGATTTCATGTGAAGTACACATATAGTATGGGATGTCCTGAATAAGAACTGACCATTGTTTCTTTCTATTTAATCGAAATGGGGTCTTTATAACACTTTATATTATGTTAATGTCCCACTTCTCCAGATTGCTGGAGTAAGAAGTGTTTATATGTAGTATGCATATTGTATGTGATGTTCTGTACAGGAACTGATCATTGTTTTTTGTCTATTTATTGAAAATTGGGTCTTCATAACACTTTGAGTAATGTTAATGCCCAATTTCTCCAAGACGCTGCAGTAACAAGTCTTTATATGAGGTTTAGTATGGGATGTCCTGTATAAGACCTGACTATTGTTTTTTTTTCTACATCTTTTAAATGAGCAATTTTTTTTCCAAATTGCTGCAGTAAAAAGGATTCATGTGTTGTATATATGCATATAGCATGGGACATCTAGTATCAGACCTGATCACTCTTTTATTTAACTTATTCCAAAAATGTATTTATAACACTTTAAAGACTTTATAGCTCATTAATAGCCCATTTCTCCAAAATGCTGCAGTAAGTTATTATGAGGTATGCATATAATATTGGATGTCCTGTCCATAGTTTTCTTCTGTTAACTTAAATGAGGTCTTTTACATGAGGTATGCATGTACATCCTGTATCAGAACCAAACTTTGTTTTTTTTCTACTTATTTCTTTATAGCACTTTAAAGTGTGTTAATGGTACATTTCTCCAAAATGCTGCAGTAAAACAGGCTTCATATGCTGTATGCTTATTATTTGACTTCCTGCATCGATCTTATTGTTGTTCTATTCTACTTATAACAAATAATAAGGTCTTTACAGTCATCTAAAGTGTAGTAATGCCCCATATCCCATATACTGAAAGAAGCATATATTTTTAAATCCCCTTTAAATAAAACCAACATATATTTGTAACTTAAACAATGCTATGTTGGACTACTTCATGATTATTTTCACTTTCTGAGGTTAGGCACGTTGTATAAAATTGCATTCAACCTTATTAGCAATGTACTGTAGTTGGCTAGGAGAAATAAAAACGCTTTCTGGGTATTTAGAAAACGTATATTTATTCTGACCGTTTGATTGCTATAAAATCATTTGAAGCAAAAAGATAGACTTGAGGAAATTAAAGGTAAGCACAGAAACCAATTTCTTAAAATAACAACAGTCAAAAAAGCTAATAAATTGTTTAATAAAGCATACGTGGGAGGAAAGGGGGATAAACTTATATTTCGTTGTTATCTCTCTGTTCTGGGCGAAATGTGTGCTCTGTGGAGCGCTCTCTGTGTGGCTGCTGACATTACCGTAATGATAACAATACGCGCGCACCAAAATATAAAGCGCGGCTGGCTTGACTGTGTTTTTCCGAACCGCGGCTGGCTTGACCGCAGTAAGAAGTCATGACTGCAACAGCAAGTAGCAAAAAAAGCGAAACAAAAGAAAATACTTTTATTTTGGCGTGGTGTGACGTCATAAGTCTGCGCCGCTCTTGCGCTGGATTCAGATGGAGAAAGGTTTGTTTTAAAGCGTTTACACTTATATAAAGCGATTGATTAAAGTTTCAGGCTTTTTCATCCGATGCTAAATTATGATGTTCATGCATAATGCTGCTCTTGACAACATTATTTGAACACTTTATACTATGTAGTATTATGTTACTCACAGTATTGAGAGCTATTGTTTGAATAAACTAAAGAAACAGAAACAGTGTGTAATATGTGTTTAAATGAAGGTTTAATTGATTAAATAGCATAATGTCATTCCATTCTAACTATACATCCCTATGTATGAGAAAAGGAGTACTTTTAATCAGCTCATTCTTTATAGCTCTGACTATATAGGTAAAGTTGGTTTTATATTCACACATTCGTTCATTTATAAGTCTCTATTGTTCACCATGTTACTTTGAATATTCGATTTGAATTAGCATGCAAGTATGACTTCTAAACAACATTGTTTATTGGACTGTGAACAATGCTGTACTTTAATAGTCATTGGCTGCTAATATGATTTCGCTATTTAGAGTTTGCAAATAATACTTTAATGAAGTTATATTATTAAGAGAAAAGTCTGAATGTGCGAATATAAAACCAACTTTACCTCTATGCTTGGACATACCTGATTTCGTTTTTGTTACTGTTGAAGCAAGTGTTGCAGAGAAGTTATTTTATTTCTGTTCATTTTTTTACTTATTTAAACAGGACATTTTTATTGTTTTGTTCATTTTAAACAGGATAAAGTGTCCAAACACAGAGAAAAATCTCCTGCTGAAGCGACTGATCTCCACACTGTTATAAAGATGGCGTTTATTAAAGAGGAGAGTGAAGATATGAAGATTGAAGAGACATTCACAGTCAAACAAGAAGATCTGCAGGAACAAACAGGTTGGTTTCATTCTCAAACACCAACTCAGTCATATAGCGGTAAAGTTGGTTTTATATTCGCACATTCATTCATTTAGAAGTCTCTATATTGTTTACCATGTTAATCAAGCTCTTATGGACCGTTTCCACTGAGTGGTTCGGTTTGGTACGCTTTTATGGCCGTTTCCACTGTTAAAAGGCGTACCAATCCAAACCGTACCGTACCACTTTTTTGGCACCCTTTCGAAAGAGTCCCAAACACTAAGGCCGTACTCACACTAGGTAAAGTTGCCTCGAACCGGGCCAAAGCACGCTTGTCCCCCCTCCTGTCTGCCCCGACGGCCTGCACTCACACTACAAACGGGCCTCGGCACGCTTACGTCATCACTGCTGCACTGTTCAGTGAGAAGCGCTAACTCAGCAGCACAGTCGAGATTTCTTTAGTTATATCGTTTCAGTCGTTTGATATGCAGTCAAATATTTCGCCAAACAGTCCTTAGGGATGCGGTGACACGCAGTCAGATATTTCGCCGAACAGATCCGCCACTTTTGGCGCTCATAAACAATCATAAAGCCCTCGTGCTGCAGGAATGAGAAGGTCTGCTGAAGGCGCACAGCTGTCGTGCTGTGAGGAGTTCTCGTCTTTAATAAACTACGGCAGTTTGCGATCACTGAAAAGTCAGAATGATTAAAAAAATCCATATGAAACAGCCCCTTAAAAGTCACGTCTCGCTTTCAGTTTTGGGCTTTGGCGCATTTTGCACTCACACACAAGTGTACCGCGCTCAGGCCCACCTCTTCCAACCGGGCCAGGGCCGGCCAAGTGAACCATGCTTCAGCCCGATTCAGCGCACTCACTCTTCTCAAACGATCCGGGAAAGGGGCCTGGGCAAGGTACGGATGGCATAGTGTGAGTAGGCCCTAAAAGCGGAGCTAGATGCGCAGCTGAACGCTATTGGTTTACAGAGATACGTCATTTGTAGACACAACAAGCCAGAATCTAAATAACGGACCCGCCATGTTTAAAATACACAGCGAGAGATTACAGCGGAATTATATACATATGCAGCCATGGTCGATCCGGGCTCAAACAAACCCTGTCGTCATCTTGATAAACAGCCACAAAGCCATGGAGAAGATCAGATTTACCCTGTGCAGCGTAGTTTTTTATGAGCCAGTCTGAAGCCTGAGTGGTTTTGCTTTCTTCCTTGTGCTCGCCGCGCGTCTCTATCTGAAATAACAAACTTCTTGAGCTGATAATAATATACGCGCTTGATTATTGACAAGCTTTGGAAACCCGATCTTGTGAGAAGCTGACAAACTCGGGACACATTCTGTGACACAATCAGAAAGAAAAGGACAAACGCCTCCCTCCCTCCCTCCTTCAGCACCCACACGTCCTCAGTTATATCCGCGCATAGTGTGCTGATTAAGAGGTCTGCGACACCTCACTTCATTTTCATAACCGGTCACTTTCATTTTCACATTGGGGTTGAGGGCGGCAAGATCGTCCTCTGCCTAGAGCGGCAGTTCAGCTTGCTCCGGCCCTGGCTATACTTTGTGTTGTTTTGAACTTAATTAAGGACGAAATGTCTGCTTTGTGTAGTTCTTTTGTAGTTGGTAACATACCGGTGACTATAAGGGTCTGTATGTGTTCATATATCTTCATTTATTTATTTACTTTATATAATTACAGACGTTACAGTAGGCTATTTCGCACCGTCATTGATCTGCAGTTATAATCAACTAATGTTCATAGAAAAGTTAGTAATAAACATTTATACGCAAGTATTTATGTGTGTAAAGCATCTGTTTTGTGAGAAGTGCTTTTCATATGATATGTGAACGACCTAAAACCACGCCCACCAAAAGGGTACCCTTGGTAGTGGAAACGCAAGCCTGATAAAGGTGACCCGTACCGACCCGAACTGTACCATACTGTACCAGTCAGTGGAAACGAGCCATTTGGTCCAGGGTCAAAACCAAATTTTTAAGCACTGTAAATGAATAGATATACTCAATTCTTTCAAATGCCTTATGGGCATCTAAAGAAATTAAGTCCTCTGGATTGGTATTATTTTTAGGTAAATAAATAATATTAAATAAGCTCAAAGGTTATAAGATAACTGTCTTTTAACAATAAAACCAGTTTGATCTGGGTGAAGTATCTTTCTCATGACTGACTCCACTCTGATTGCCAGCACTTTAGCCATGATTTTATACAGCAGAGTGAGCTGATCGGATGATAAGATTCACATTTAAGTGGATCCTTACCCTTTTGAAGAAGTACTGTTATAGCAGCCAATGTCATGAAGGGGGGAGGGATTCCGATACAAGAGCTTTAGCAAATACCTTGCACAACAGGGGTGTTAACTTGGCACAAAACTTCTTATAAAACTCAGCCGGGACGCCATCAGGGTCTGGTGCTTTTCTGATTTTTATTTATTTTTTATTGTATTTTCAATTTCAGAAGGTGTTAAAATTCCTTCTTTTGTCAACTGATCTAAATCACAGAGGGATGGTAATTCTTAATAATTAAAAAAGCTCTCAATGCGTTCAATTTCCTTTACCTTAGAGCTGTAAATAGTTTTATAGAAGTTTTTTAAATTAATCACTAATACTCTGTTTATCAGTAATAATACTGCCATCATCCTTACTAACTGCTACTATAACACCAGCTGCTGAGGATTGTTTCAGTTGGTAACACAATAACCTGCCAGCTCGTTCACCATGTTCATAATGAATCTGGCGTGATCTTATGTGGAGATCCTCAAGGAGTCATTCCGCTTGCAGAATAAATATTTTTTTAAGAAGCTCTTCAGAAGATGATGTTGAGTGTAGCTGATCAATTGTATTATTTTTTTAGATGCCATTGCCGATGGCCGACAAACTTCACGATGCTGGGCCTGCATCACGATCCATCGCCCCGCCCCACATTTATATTGATATATAACTTATTATTTGCATGTCATCGTAATAGCAATAACAGTCTTTTCATGAGCTGTGTTAAATGTTACATATAGCTGCCGCTTGCACAGCTGACAGCATCGTGAGGATTAAATGAAGGATTATACAATACCTCTCGCGCTTAAATGTGTAGATTCAGTGCCAAACACGGTTACCAGCGGACTTAAAGCCACTAGAAGTCTTTTATCCACTCTTGTTAAAGTGTAAATGGTGGATTAACATTCAGCACATGATTACTAATAAGATGAGCCATTATTAATAACTTAAGGTAAACCTGTATGTTATTTTCATTCTCTCATCTTCAGCGCCTCACATTTTCGCAGCTGTAGCTCCTATCATCTGAAGGCAGAAGGCATTGACTGAGTGACTGACAGCTGATATTAACCAATCATTTGCATTCAGTTGTAGAGCAGTGAGCCAATAAGTAGAGCACAAAGGCGGGGCAAGCATTGCAGGCTTTTTTACTTCAAGTTCACATAACAACTGTTTTAATCTGTTCCTGGTGCTGCGTTTGGCGTTTTTAGGTGCAAATATGCATTCTGCATAAATGTCTCCTAAATCTGTGCACGCGGTGAGGATTTTACAGTAAAAACAAATGTATGCACTACAGTGAACTCCAACCGTACTCTATCCTCCTCCACCAGCTGTAGGAAAAGCCATTCACTCTTTTTTTAACTAGTGACATAAGTATTTTCTTTCTCATTTGTGTTTAAAGGTCTTTCGATTTTGGCTTGATGTCTAGCTTTTGAAGCTCTTTTGGTCTACTTCACTTTGTCAGACAGGTCCTATTTGGGTGATTTCTTGATTGCGAACGTGTGTGGTAGTAATCAGGGGCCTCATGTATCAACGCTGCGTACGCACAAAAACTTTGCGTACGCCAGGTTTCACGCTCAGAATCGCTCACGTTTGGATTTACTAACAATGAACTGAACGTGGGAATGTGCGCAGCTTCACGGCAGCTTTCTGGCAGGCGTACGCACATTTTTTGTGCGTGTCTGTTTTATTTCCATTGGCGACTCCTAGAGGCAGTTGTGTTAGATTCCTCTCTACAAAGTGTCTGAGCCTTGCAATGGCAGCTGTATGAGACGGGTTCAGCAGGTATATAAGGTTTCCATACCATACATTTGACCAGCTAAACATTAAAGCACAATTTGCAGCGGTCGCCTGTTTTCCCAATGTAATCTGAGCTATCTACTGCGCGCACAATGCTATAAAGACACTATCTGAAGATGAATTTGCATGCGTGAATCAGAAACATTTTCATTCAATAAATGTGCAAATAAAATATGATGCTTATTGATATGAACTTATTGATGATTCCTACTTGTCGTGATAAATAATTGGAAAAATCTGATATGTAGCGGGGGAAAAAACAAGAAAGAGTTCATCAAACGCTGGATTCGAGCCGAGTTCATGCTCGAACGTATCAATTCATGATCACAAGCGTCTTACGAGTAGCGCCACTGAAACTGTTAAGCGTCCTGCAACATTTTACAGATATAAACCACACTATTTCTTTTTTTAATACACTCAGTGCGATGTTCAGACCCAACTGTGTTGACCGCATCAGCTAAACTCTCCCACTCTATTTTTTTCTTTTGTTGTTAATTCCGGAGAACAAACTTGCAAATAACACAGCTTTTCTCCGGTCTACCTCCGAAAGCAGCACCTCCAATTCACATTCTGTTCAAAGTTTCTCTTTTTGCTTGCTTTTGACATTGCTTTTTCGTTGGGTTTTTCCATTAGCATGGTCATTAGCATATTCATACGGTGGAGGAGGCAGGGAGGGGTTTTGTGCTCGTGCATGTTGCGCTCAGTTTCACGTTCATTCAGATGTACAAATGAATATGCGTGAGATTCGGCGTACGCAGTGTTTCATACATCTGAATGTTTTTCTGCGAACGCACATTTACAGCTTTGTGCGTACGCAATGTTTTAGTAAGATTTCCACGCAAGTCTTCGTACATGAGGCCCCAGGTCTGGGTGTGGCTAGAGAACTTGAAGTTGGTGTGATAAATTAAAGTTGTTCTAATGGGAATTTTTTTAAGTGCCTTTTCACTGAGAGTTTTAATGATTTACTAAAAAGTAAACTTATTTTTATTTCAGACCTAATTAAAGACTACGATGAGAGTAAAGAGGAGGAACATCATGTCAAAATTGAGGACAAAACTCATTTAGAGACTGATGGTATTTTAAAAGTGAGAGACAAGAGTTGTTTAACCTGCACTCAGTGTGGAAAGAGTTTGGCAAACAAAAGCAAATTAAAGACTCACATGAGGATCCACACTGGAGAGAAACCATTCACATGCTATCAATATGGGAAGAGTTTCAGCAAATCATCACTTTATAGACACAAGAAGATCCACACCGGTAAAAAAACATTCACTTGCACTCAGTGCGGGAAGAGTTTTAACTGCTCATCACACCTTAATCAACACATCAGGATCCACACTGGAGAGAAACCATTCACATGCACTCAGTGTGGGAAGAGTTTTAACTGCTCATCACACCTTAATGAACACATGATGATCCACACTGGAGAGAAACCATTCACTTGCACTCAGTGTGGGAAGAGTTTTAGCAAATCATCGTCGCTTTATAGACACATGAAGATCCACACTGGAGAAAAACCATTCACTTGCACTGAGTGTAGGAAGAGTTTCAGGCACTCATCACACCTTAATCTACACATGAGGATCCACACTGGAGAGAAACCATTCACATGCACTGAGTGTGGGAACAGTTTCAGTAAATCATCATCGCTTTATAGACACATGAAGATCCACACCGGAGAAAAACCATTCACTTGCACTGAGTGTGGGAAGAGTTTCATCCAATCATCATGCCTTAATGTACACATGAGGATCCACACTGGAGAGAAACCATTCACATGCACTCAGTGTGGGAAGAGTTTCATCCACTCATCACACCTTAATCAACACCTTATGATTCACACTGGAGAGAAACCATTCAAATGCCCTCAGTGTGGGAAGAGTTTTAGCCAATCATACCTTAAAAAACACATGAAGATTCACACTGGTGTGAGAGAGTATATGTGCTTGGAGTGTGAAAAGACTTTTATTACAGCTGCAGAATTGAAACGGCACCAGAGGATTCACACTGGAGAAAAACCGTACAAGTGTTCACACTGCAGTAAGAGGTTTACTCACTCAGGAACCCTGAAAACACATGAGAGGATTCACACTGGAGAGAAACTGTACAAGTGTTCACAGTGCAGTAAGAGGTTTGCTCACTCAGGAACCCTGAAAGCACATCAGAGGATTCACACTGGAGATAAACTGTAGACGTGATCAGTGTGTATTAGGTTTGGTTACTGAAACCCGGTGCCATTTTAGCACCGCTACCTTGGTAACCGGTATGTATCGGTATTAAATCAGCATATGAATTTCAGTGCTTAATTTCAGTGCTGCGGCATGAACGTGAGGGGTGCATGAAAAAAGGCACATATAGGCGTTGTGTCACAGCATCACTAAACATTTAATTCTAAACAACTTTGAGGAATACGGACAAGCGATATCAAGCAATTGTTATTGTCGCTAGGGAACAGACGCACACAGTACAGCGCATTTAGCCTGGAACCAGTGGTTTTCGGTGAGCGAGAGCGACACTCTTCAGATCAACATGCGTGATCACGTTCATCCAATTTGCTTAAACTAAGCATTCTAAAGCAAATTTTACAAGCAAGGATTCTTACACAGCAACTGTCTTCACAAAAGTGCGTGTAATGTTAAGGAGGTAACATGTCAAATTTAATGACACAAGTAGAACAGATGTAACACATTGATCAAATGTAGTTTTCAGTCTCGCTCATGTAAGTCATATTCAACTCGTTTAGTTTTGACTTTATTAATTTTTGATTTCCGTCTTGAACACATGATTTATTTACAACACATTTTTAACCATAATAGTTTAACTAACTCGTTTCTAATATCTAACTTTACTTTTTTATGCTGACAGTCAGTGCAGAACATTTTACTAGTTATTTTGCAAGACAGTATTCAGACAAAGTCCCTTTAAGTGTTTTATAGTCTTTTATTCAGATTAAAGGGTAATTTAGACTTAAAGGGGTGGTCCACTATGATATCATATTTTAAACTTTAGTTGATGTGTAATGTAGCTGTGTGAACATAAACAGCATCTCTGAATGTAAAATGCTCAAAGTTCAATGCAAAGGGAGACGTTGATTTTTACAGAGTTAGCTTAGCAAAGCCTACAATGAACGAATTTTGGGGACTACAAAAAATACTTCCGCCCCCTGTGAGATCACAAAAGTTTGTTATTGCGCATCCCACACTGTGCAGGTAAAGGCCGTGGCCAGAGGCGCTGTAACGTTACTGCAGAGGGAGAAATGCCATCCCGCTGTTTCCACAGAGCTTCTATGTTTCTGTTGTTGGGCTTCCAAATGACACGACACAAGCAGAAGTGCTTACAGTTCAATATTAATTATGTTCCAGAGAACTATAAAATGCACAGCAAGCATGATTTGACAAAACGCAGCTTCCAGAATCTCTCCCAGTTCAGTGCTGGATTTTGCTAAAATCTCCTCAAAGATGGAGCAAGGAGACGCTGTGAACTCTGAGTCATGACCTGTAAGTGTTTTTATTTGTTAAAATTGATCATGACATGTACAGCGTCTAGCCTTAACGGTGTGTTGTAGCATAAATGTAAATAACGGGAAATTATATTCATCACTAACGACTTAGCTACAAATCCATACTTATCAGTCAAACGGCTGTAAACACACACACATACACACACATACATACACGCACTCTTGGCCAGCATGCGCGTCTCTGTGTGAGATGGCAGTGTGTCTCTTATGTGTGTGCACGACTGCACTGATTGTCTTCAGGCTGCTTTTCCATGCGTTCAACTCAAGACAATAAAGTCGCAAAAGATATGTGAACGAATCATGTTACTTACACAGGCATATGCCGGATATGCGTGAAAGACGTCCTGTAACGCATTGATTAAAAAAAATAAAAAATACAGCAATGCTCTCCCAACTGGAGTGTAACAGCAAAAACAAATCAATCCAGGCTCACAAAGGTCTCATCTCACATCTTGTGATTTAATCTGTCACCACAGAAAATAACTTAATCCGAGCATGAGAGAAAAAGAACAATAAATATCCCGCGCACATGCACTTCTCATGTTACAGACACTTCATAGTATATACACGCACACACATAAACACACTAAATGGCACAGAAACACTTTTAAAGGAGCCGCATCCCATTTTCACTCGTTACAGACACGTGTTAACTGACTGACTGTTTACACACAACGCGCGTGCTTCTCCGGGCGTGACGTGGAGCCGATCGGCGAATCACAGCACATTATGATGATGACCAATCAGAGTCACTTGAGGGTGGGCCTTTTAGAGGAACTAGGAAATATGACAGTCGTTTTCCTGTTAGCTGAGTAGCTGTGTATAATCAAAGTGAGATATATGAAAAAATAACATGATTTCCTTCAAGTGAAACATGAGCACACATTGCTTTGCATCTTATTAACACAACCAAGCCTTAAAATTACATTCTGGACCACCCCTTTAATCAGTTCAATACGAAAGTTAAAATAATTAGTCAAATTATTTTGTAACTGATTTGTTGTGTAAATCAAAAATATACAGTAAATATTTCTTAAGGAGGCTAATATTACTGACCTTATTATTATTTTTTTTTAATTAAAAACGGCTTTTATTCATGAAATAAACAATAAGAAATAGGACTTATTATGACTCCAGAATATTTATGTTTTAGGAAACACTGTAAAAGTTTTCAGAAACATTATTTTAAATGAATGGGAGGGCAAAATGAATCGACTTCAACTGTAGGCCTGTTAAAGTTTACAGGTGCAACAATGTGCCTTGATGTACTTGAATGTTAGAAATGTGTTCTCCTACACCAACGTTACTTGTCAAATAAATGAACAAGGAAGATTATTTTGAGTTTAAGTTATTTAATTATCTTGTTTATGAAGACTGCAGAGTGATGCATGAAAACAAATGACTTTGAATAATGTTTTAAGTATTTTGTGATATATATATGTTAAAATGTGCTCCTAAAATTACGTGGCCCCTGCCAGCCCCCCACAGGTTAAAAGGAAGCTAATGTAATTTCATAATGCAAATCTTAAATTCATGCTAACCAACAAATGATCAAAGGAAATGTATTAATGTAATACAATATGAATTGATGTTTACATTAAACTGTAATTATGTTGTTCTATTAAAATTATTAAAAAAAAAGAAAAATTTGTCAAATAAAATTTTTTTGAAGAGTCGTCCACCATCATTTTGTGGCTAAAAAAAGTATCGATTCAGGCACCGTTTTGGCACCGGTATTGTTTTAAAAGTATCAATTTAGCACCGGTATCAAAAAAAAAAAAAAACGATACCCAACCCTAGTGTGTACAGAGTTTCACTCATTCAGGGCAGCTTGAGAAACACATGGGATGGTTTCCAGTATGGTGTTGACACATGTAGCAGCATAGAAAGAGAGCTCCCATACACACTGGTATTAATCCTTCTTTTTACATTATATATGATAACCTAAACCATATTTAAAAAACATGGAGTGCAATAGGCACAGCAAGAAAGGGCTTTTTAGAAAATTAAGGCTTTCCTCTCACATTAAGAAGTTATTTAAGACTTCAAGGTTTGGAGATCTTTTTTGTAATAATTTTTATGTGGTTCAAGATATTCACGTTTGTGTTATTCGTGTTCCGATCACAGTGATCTTCGTAATAATATCTGATTATAGTATATGCAAAAACAGAAATATAGAGTAATTACTTTGAATATTAATAGGTTACTAAATCCGATTAAAAGAAGCAAACTTTTGACTAAAATTAAAAGAGAAAACCAACAGATAATCTTCTGGCAAGAGACACATCTTTCTGATACAGGTCATAGGAAATTAGAAACAATGGGATTTAGGTTTTTCTTTTTCTCATATAATAATGGTCGTAAACGAGGAGTAATGACATTAATCTCAAATGAAATCAACTTCCAATTAATTTCTAAGATTACTGATAAAGAAGGGCGATATAACTTAATTAAAGGAACTATCAACCAAAACAAAGTTACATTAGTTAGTATATATAAACCACCTAAAAAAGACAAAGCATTTCTCAAAAAAATATTAAGTGTTATAACCAAGAAGGCATCAGGAATGTTGATCTGTGGGGGAGACTGGAATGTACAACTTCAGCCTAAATTGGACTCTTCTTCTAATAAGCAAATTAGTCAAGAAACTAGACAAATAAGATATTTGATGAAATAATTAGGCTTGATAGATGTATGGAGAGACATATACCCTCTTAAAAAGGCATATACTTTCTTTTCTTCCACATGTGTCATTCTGGAATTGATTTTTTATTTATTTTTTTTTTTTTTATCTCAGATCAAAATAAAAATAAAAGACTGTTAAATAGGAACAAGGGACATCTCAGAGTATGCAGGAGTATATTTAACAGTTTACCTGGACAATAAACCCAAAAAGACATTTTGGCGATTTAACCCTAATCATTTAAATGATTTAACATGTGTAGAAGATGTTAAAAAAAGAACTATAAGAATATTTAAAACATAATAATAATGGAGAGGTGTCACCTAGTATCATATGGGACGCAGCTAAAGCTGTTACACGAGGTAAACTTATAATGTGGGGATCAAGGGAAAAAAACTGAATTACATAAATAATCTAAATATACAACTTAAAGAATAAGTGACTAAATATCGTAATAAGAAAGATCCAGATATTTTAATAATAGAGTTAGGGTTAAAGAAGTTAAAGCAGAGCTCAATAAAATGTTTGATGAGCAAGTACAAATAAAACTTACATTTTAAAATTTTATGAAAATGGTCCAAAAAGCTCCTGGCATGAAGAATAAAGAAACAACAGGCAGAGAGGAGGATATTTAAAATCAAAGATTACAAAACTAAAACGATATGTCATAAATTGGGGAAAATGCAACAGGCTATTCAAAAATACTATAAGGAATTATATACCTCAAAAGACAATATTGAACTTGCAAACATGCAAGCATTTTTACACACATTAGATTTACTATTAATTGGATCGATACAAAATAAAACCCATAACTCAAAAAAAAAAAAACTATAGAAGAAATAAGCAACGCTATATCAAAACTTAAAACATCTTAAGTACCAGGCGTAGATGGCTTTTCTGCAGAATGGTATAAAATATTCAAATAACAATTGATGTAAATGCTTTTTGAATGCTGTAATCATACCTTACATGAGTAACATGTACATAACTTACATCTGATATAACAACATATCAGATATGTTGGAGTTCAAATCCCTGCATACCTATAAGATATCTATAAAATAAAATACTTCCCCATTACAGAAACCATAAAAAAGTTTTTGAACAGACGGCTCCTTCAACCTTTAGATCTATACAATTGAATAGATAATAAGGATGAATATATTACCAAGCCTACCTTTTCTGAATTGGAAGGTTTTCAACAATTTTCAAATATATATATATATATATATATATATGTATATATATATATATATATATATATATATATATATATATATATATATAACTTTGATAAACAAGACTTTTTCCATTACCTTCAAGTTAGACACTACTTCAATAAAAGCATAAGAGATTCAGAAGACATAAAAACTACAGGAGTGCAGGTATTTATAAATGCTTACAAAAAATAAAGATTAATAAAAAAAACTAGTATCAAGAATGTATTCCTGTCTGACATTAACATAGAAACACTCAACAATGTGTATCAGACAGAAATGGGAAGGAGAAGCCAATATAATAATAGCAAATGAGGAATAGTTAACTATTTGGGAAACACAGATGATCACAATTAATTCATAGAGGTCTTTATGACATCTAAAATAAAATACTTTTAAACTAGAGATCAAAATATGGTGAATGATGGAGAAAATGTGAAAATGTATTGGCAGATCATTTCAAAATATTTTGGAACTGTAATATTATACACAAGATTTAAATAGAGATAAATCTAATTATGGGATTAATTTAATTTTAAAACTATGTACCTGGGAATTTACTCTGCAGAAATACCAAAAATGATGTGTATCTTCTTAACACACTACTCACAACTAGCAAAAAGGCCATTACAAAGAAATAGCTCAAGGAAGATCCTCCATCTGTAGGCGAATGGTATGATATTGTTAAAGAGGTGTATGACGTGGAAGTACTGATATTTAACTTGAGACAACAAGCCTATAACATTTCTGCATACTGGGGTAAATGGTTGAGAAGAAAAGTCTTGTTTAAATTTCATTGTGCTGCTTTTATTGTTTACATGTTTGGAGCCTGTTGATCTTTGACACGTAACCCTTAACAAAATTTTACATAGCAACATTTTATCAACGATAAATACAAATGTAAATAAGATTGTATTCTGTGACCTTTGACACTTGTATGTCTATTTTGCTTTCATGTTCCTTTAAAAAAATGTCTGTTTGCTTGCTTTTTTTATTGCTGTTTGTTTTGTTCTAAACTGTTTTGAAAAAAAAGTCATGTATCATCATCATCCACACACAAGCTCACAGCGTTCAGCATGTAGTTTTGCTGCTGTTAGATCAAAAACAGCTGCCATTCATGTTGATTCACTCTAAAAATAATTCTATTGGTCTGTCTGTCTTTATAAATAATGTCTGACATTTTACACTGAATTCTGTACAAAATAGATTGACTTGTTTCTCTTTTGCTAAAATGAATTATTATTGTATTTGACTGTAACTATCTTTTTTAATTAGGCTAATTGCCTTATTCTCTTTAAAGAGCAGCTCTCATACAGAGACCATTATTTCAGTGTTTTTTCCAGGATATTGTGGATATTTGTGGATTCCTTCTTTCTTGTCCTCGCTGATTTCCTTCTGAGGGAAAAAATTGTAATTTGATCATTAAGTTGTTTTTCCCTGTCATTTTTATTTTGTTATTGATTTAAACTATCACATCACTTTTCAGGTGAAGGGGAAACAGTGTTGTACTTTTCTTAAAAAGCTTCAAATGTTTCAAATAAGGAAGTGTATTTTGTGTTTTTAAGGATTGCATGTTTTTAAAAGGTATAAATTATTTAAATGATTGTTAATTATATCCCAACATTGTGACTGTGTTTACACTTTTATTTAGTTTAAAAAGCATATGAATCCACTGAAACTGAACTTTGTGACACTGGGTACTTTCTGCAACATTTTAATAAGAATGTGAAATAACAGCACAGTAGAACATATATAATAGTAATATCAAGTAATAACAACACTAAAGAAAATAAACAACTTCCAGTACATACAAGTGCAAACAAATGAACAAAATCTGAACATTAATCAAACAACATAAAGAAACATGGGTAATGAAGAATTAACATGCCAGGTTAATTCTCAGCATTGAGGTCCATGTCTGCTGACCTTAAAAGCCTTGGTAATCTGTAACAAAAAGAAGACGACAACCAGAAAGTGCACAATAATTTGGTTGAAACTTAAAGATGGATGGAAGGGAGGGTTAAGAGCAGTTTGAGCATACTTACCAGGCTGTAATTCCACATGTGTCGTACAGAATCCAGAGAGAGAGGAGAGATTATGGAGTAGCCTACTCACACTCTCACAGTTGCAAAAAGAAAACTTATGAGAAAAAAAGAGCAAAAGACAAGAGAAAATACAATTCTCTGAAAGTAAAGGTGAATGGTTTGTAAGGCCCACTCATTCAGCCTATTACAACCAAGTCTCTATTTGGAGAGCAGTGTTGTTGATTGGCAGCGCAGAAAGAGTACTCCAGGGTGAGAAGAGCAGTGATGGTTGTCCAGAGAGAGAGAAGAGAATATGGCCAAGGGTGGAAACTTGGAGTTGGACATGTTAGAAGTGAGTGAGTGTGGGGGATGGAAAGATGTTGTTTTACATCCAGTCCAATTTCAGCCCTTTCCCAGCAAAAGATCTCCTCTTTGAGCCATAATCATAGAGTAACTCCTCATCACTCAAAATGTCTTTTGTAGCAATGAAGAGAATGATGTCTCTATCATTAAGGACATACAGCCTGGGCCGGATATTGGCTCTTTTGCTGGAGTGACGAATCAGGCGTCCATAATTGAACTTCATGGGATGGCACTGGCAACTTTCTTCATGTGCGTCAATGCACATGGCTTCATGTTGCTTGTTCTTATAAAAAAACAAATGGCCAGCTCTGATGCCGCTTGTTGAAGCAATTGCCATCCCATCTTCATGGCTAACCAGCTCGCCGTGGTATTCACAGACAACCTCCCCGATCTGAAAGGGTCTTTTGGTGAAAACACCATCGCCCTTGTCAGGGACGGGCCTGACAGTCAGTCCTTTCCAGCGTTGAGACAAAATAATTTTTTTCACAAAGCTGCTGTCGATGTCCAAGTCCAACCTGGCAACAGGTTTCCACTGCTTCAGAACCACTGCAGCCTGTGGGACGTTTGATGTCCACCCTTGTTTGTCCATCCAGCGGTTTATTTTGGACTCTGATGGCTGCTGTCCAGCAAAGTGTTCTAGAAACACAAAACACATCAGTATTCGGCTATTCTTACTCAATACCCCTGTTTGTGTCATTAATCATCTGTATACTCACCGAGAGCATGCTGTTCACGCAGCTTGAGCTGCTCGCTACGCCAGCGGTCATAGCAGTGCCTCTCATGTTCTGAGCCACACAGCTCAGTCCTGCGTGCCCTTTTTGGAGGAGGCCCCTCCAGAGTCACTGGACAGAACTGCTCAAGAGTTTTGTAGGCCGTCTGTTCGTCCACCCTTGTCTCACAGCTGGAAGCTCTACTGGACCTTTGTCTATAAGATCACAAAAAAATAAATATTGAAGGAAGGAAAGGCAAGGCTGTGGGTTGCAAATTTAAAAATAAGCATCATCCCAGTTGTTAGATGCTTACGGTGTTTTCTCAGCGAGCTGGTCTAGCACACTTAGAGCCAGAAACAGATCTGAAGATGTTCTCCTCATGTAGTTCCTTTCAGCTGCCACATTTCTCTCCACTTCTGACAGGTTTTGTGCTGCTGCCTCAAATGCTTTCTGGGCATCGCCACACGTCACACTGGGAAGACTGTATCTGAAACACAAGGCATCGTAAGAAGGCAAAAGGTGGACGGATGAACATGTAGAGTTAAAGACAGGTGTAAGGTTGCTTACTTGTCATGTAGTCTTTTTAAGTCGTTGGAGGGATTATAAATCGATCTCCCACTACTTGACACAAAAAATGAATCAACTGCCACATCGTCGCCGGTGCGGTTTTCTTGCAGCATTACTGGCCGCACCTCATTGAAGTGCAAGTCGAACCACTAGTTAAAGAAAGAAAAAAAATAAGTCTAAATTTGACACAATACATTTATTGCTGTTATGATATAAAAGACAATATAAACTTACAAGTTCCTGTTCGTGTGACAATGGTACTTTGTGCTCCTTCACTGCAACACAGACACCATTCTCTATCCGGCTTCTCCCCTCCCAATCCTCAACCTGCAAACAGACAGTTTTGCACATTGATGAAGCATATAAGAACAAAGAAGACAATGTAGGGAAAAACAAACACTTACAGTCATGTGTGTCACAATTCCAGGCCGCTGGACTAGCTTCAGCATGATAACAGCCTCCAGGTAGTACAGGACGAGCAGCCGTTCATTTTTAGTCAAACAGTCCCCTGTGATGGCTCCTGGACCCTGCATTTTGCATATCACGGCCTGGAAATCTTTGAATGCAGCCTCCAAAACAGCAAGGCAGTCCTTTGGCAAAACGTCTTTGCCACAACCAAACTCTGATTTTTTTGCTGTGACCTCCATGCTCACTTCTTTGGACATGCCACTCTGTATTCCATACAGCACATCCATAAAACTCTCACAGTCCTGGAACAGAGATGTATTGTTGTGGCGAATGTCTGTGGAGGTAATAATGTATTTCATGAATCTTGAAAAGAGAACAACAATGGGTTTGTTACAGTCAGAACACAGCACAGATGACATGATTAGTTAACATGTACATGGCAAACTTGTGGTGGTTCCACATTACTGACCTCTTGAGACTCTTCGAGTAGTTGAACACTGTCCATTTTGAGAGCTTTGTATCTGACAAGATGTTAAAGTACTCTCGCACTTTATCCACCCGCCGAACAAACATCAAGTTTGGCTCAGTGGGGTCCATGTAATGCAAGAACCTGGACACTGTTTCCACCTGAAAGGACACATTTCACATTACAATAAACTGTACTCCATACACCCACACATTTTATACTTTCACTTGTTTAATGAACTTACTACTTGTTTACTGTTTTTATATCCTAGGTCAGTGTAAAGGTACTTATTAAATCCTGCTAGAAGGGGGTGGTCAATGGAGTGCTTTTTGTACAAGCCTTTTTTGACCATTTCCACCCTCACGGAAGAGGTCTACATCGGTTCACCAGTGCTGAAACAGAGAAGCAGGTGAGCAAAACGACTTTGTATATTACATAGAAGTCCTGTCCACAGTGTACATTTAATTTCTGGGAATGCCGATTTGAAACTGTACCTCTGATAATACTCTCCAGAGCTCTCGTCAGATAAGGGCTCATTTGGAGGCTCCAATTGACTTTCTGCACCTTCTCCAGAGCTTTGAAGCACAGAAGATGTAGTTGAGCGAGCTGGTTCTGGGAGGACTGAAGGTAAGTTATTAATCACCAACCCTTTTGACTGCATCTCTGCAATCATCCTAAACCAAGGAACATAAAATAAGGTCAAATAAACAATACCAAAAATGTGTATTTATTATTATATACAGATGTTTGATTTGAAGCCTGATTCATCAAATCAGAGAAGCATAACAGAGTTACAAACTTGGCAAGAGGATTAGTAGAGTCCAATATGTCACAAACTCCCAGAAACGTCCTCTGTGACATAATTCATACAACTCCTTCTTGGCCTCTAAGATGACAGCCTGGATCTCTGCCTCTGTGCTGTTCCTCATACACACCTTACTGAGATGCCCAGGAAGAGAGTGAGGAGCCTTTTTGCACACAGGACAAAGGAAAAACATCCTGCTGGGGAAGGATCTGTGTGGATAATAAAATCAACATGTTACAGAATGAAGACACCAAGAGCAGCTTTGTGAAGGTTCGGGGTCCACCACACCCCACCCCCAACTCCAGGTATGGAAACAAAGAAATGAGCACACAAACACACACAGCAAAGTGTGCTGGATATTTTGATTAGAGTTTTAAGACAAAACTTAATTTCATATTAATATAATACTGTTACTAACCATATAATATAAAAACCGTATTTAATAATATGACATTTATTATGAGAAAAGATTAAAATTGTCTCAGTTATTTCTTAAACCAAGATTATACCAGCAGTTAGGATTTACAAGTCAAATATAAAATAACAACACAAATAGTGTACAAACTGCTCTCCTCTCACAAACATCTGTCCTCTTCAGAGGTTTTCAAAACCTCTAAATCTATGAGTTTTTTTAAATCTAGAAGTACTAAGTTCTAGAAGACTAGATTTTTAAAGATTTGACTTCCACAAACATACTAACATACAAACTAACTCCACTGATAAAATGATACAAGCTAAACTGAGTTTATGAAGCCTGCTGCATAAGGCATACAGACTAAATCTACTTACTGGTCAAAAGCCATTTCTGATGTTAAAATGTGAGTTCTGTCAACTGGTCAAAAGCAGCAAGCTGTAGCTGAAAGTGAGACAACTTTACAATGATTGAGATGAGATAGCCCTCTTTAACCTGAGCTGGCAGCAGGTCAACAACATGTCAGGATGCAGCATCCTTGACTTGAACCCTCGAACGTCAGATGAAAAGTCTGATGCTCTACCGACTGAGTTAACTGGGATTATTGGGGCATTTGCTTAGATTTAAGTACTTGTGACGTGTCAGAGTTGCAGCATGCACTAAAAAATGAGCTGTACAAAACAGGTGGCAAGAGGGGGGCGTGATGCCAATGTCACTGTGACCCTGCCGTGACCTGAATTCGCCTTAACCACTTTGCCACAACTACAAGACTGACTGTACTGCCTTAGCCATTAGCACTGCACTAAAAGGAGGCTGGAGATTATGAATGGCAACAGAGTGCAACGCCAATGCCTTTGAAAAACCTGCCATGACACGGTTTCCAACCAGAGTTGCTGCGGCCACAACGCAGAGTACTAACCACTATACAATCACGGCAAGCTATGAGACAGCCACTGGACCTTCACTCTCTGTCGAATGTCTTTGAAAATGGAGGGCCCCCAGGGCAGTTTTATTAAAGGTCGCAAACCAAATCCTGCACATTGCCTGGATGTAGTTGGCAGGATCCAAACCTGCGCAGCAAGACACCAATGGATTTCTAGTCCATCGCCTTAACCACTTGGCCACGACTACATGTACTGCCATGGCCTCATGGCTAGTACACGTATTGTGCATCCAGATGAAACTTCGGATGAAGGTCCTTCACTCTCTGTCATATATGTCTTTAAAAATAAAAAGGCCCCCAGAGCAGTCAGTTAGCATGCGCTGCCGTTTTAATTTTGTTGCTTTTCCTTTCCAGCACAACCCTTTTCCCAAGAAACAATGAAGTTGCAAACAATCATGGAAGGTCGCAAACTAAGTCCTGCACACTGCCTGGCAGGGTTCAAACCTGCACATAAAGACACCAATGGATTTCAAGTCCATCGCCTCAACCACTCGGCCAAGACTACAAGACTGCTTGTACAGCCATGTCCTCATGCCTAGTACACGTGTTGTGCATCTAGATAAAACTTACGGCAAGCAACAGCTCAATGGCATAATCTGTGGCTCCAAAAAAAAGAGTCTTGCACGCCCGAACAGGGACTTGAACCCTGGACCCTCAGATTAAAAGTCTGATGCTCTACCGACTGAGCTATCAGACTGTATTGCAATGTTTTTTACAAGTAGGCAAGGTTGAGGGTTGTAGTAGGGGCAGACCTTTACGGTACACAAAAGTTGACCATGAGGTGGGGTTTAGGCTCATGGTTGGTGTAGATGTTGCTAAAACACAACAGTTTACTGTGAGGTTGGGTTTATGGTTGTTGTAGGTGTAGACATGAGTACAACACAATAGTTTGGACTTAATGTCATGTAGGAGACATTAAATAGATCCATGACAACTGCAGAAGGTCATTCTGTTGTTGTGGCAATGAATGGAGACTTAACAATTGAAAAGATTCCTTCCATGCCTTAGAAGCGAGACTTGATCAAGGCTTACCTACACAGTATGCTGGCATCAAATGTCCTGCTGCTCATATTGAATCCCTAGTCTTCCACACTTTAGGAAACGTAAACTTTTATGACGTGCCATTAGCACAGCCTGCATGAAAAAAAGCAGGCTAGAGGTTACGGATGGCAACACAGAGTGTAACGCCAATGTCACCTTGAAAAACCTGCCATGACCCGGAGTTGCTGCAGTCACAACGCAGACTACTAACCATTATACGATCTTGGCGAGCTATGGGAAAGCCACTGGCCCTTCACTCTCTGTCATATGTCTTTAAAAACGGAAGGCCCCCAGAGGAGTCAGTTAGCATGCGCTGCCATTTCATTTTTGTTTCTTTTCCCTTCCAGCACAACCCTTTTCCCAAGAACCAATCAAGTTGCAAACAATTATAGAAAGTCACAAACCAAGTCCTGCACACAGCCTAGACGTAGTCAGCAGGATTCGAACCTGCGCAGGGAGACCCCAATGGATTTCAAGTCCATTGCCTTAACCACTCGGCCACGACTACAATACTGCATGTACTGCCATGTCCTCATGCCTAGTACACGTGTTGTGCATCCAGATAAAACTTTCGGCAAGCGATAGCTCAACGGCATAAGCTGTGGCTCCACAAAAAGAGTCTTACACGCCAAAACAAGGACTTGAACCCTGGACCCTCAGATTAAAAGTCTGATGCTCTTCCGACTTAGCTATCCGGGCTCCATGGCAATACTTTACAAGTAGGCAAGGTGTAGGGTTGTGGTCGGCGCAGACCTTTGCGACACACAAAAGTTTACCGTGACGTGGGGTTCAGGCTTATGGTTGGTGTAGATGTTGCTAAAACACAACAGTTTACTGTGAGGTTGGGTTTATGGTTGTTGTATATGTAGACATCAGTACAACACAATAGTTTGGGCTTAATGTCATGTAGGAGACATTAAATAGATCAATGACAACTGCAGAAGGTCGTTCTGTTGTTGTGGCAATGAATGGAGACTTAACAATTGAAAAGATTCCTTCCATGCCTTAGAAGCGTGACTTGATCAATGCTTATCTACACAGCATGCTGGCATCAAAGGTCCCACTGCTTATATCGAATCCCTAGTCTTCCACACTTTAGGAGACGTAAACATTCAGGACGTGCCATTAGCACAGCCTGCGTGGGGAGACCCCAATGGACTTCTAGTCCATCGCCTTTTTTTTTTGTTGTTGTTGTTTTTTGATTTATTTACTTTATATCAAAAATTAAAAACAGTTACATTCAGGTAATAATACATGTACATTATATAAAGCCATTTGAACATATGTACTCCCACCTAAAAAGTCTTTTTCAAATACATTAATCTTGTCATTCATGTTACATAAATAGAAAAGAGCATTAAGCAGTTCAGACATTTTTCTTTAAAAACAATTTACACACAGATATTTTGCTATTCTTTTCTTTAACAATATTCCTTCTATTCCATATCACATTTCTTGCAACTGTTAAAATGAAGTTTATGAACCTTGTATTTTTACCTTGTAAGACTGGATTTTACTTAAACAACTATCCTTTGCAATAAAACCATAAAATCTCTGGAATCTGGAAGAGGGGACAGGAGAACACAATCAGAACATTCCTTTCACCCGCATCCCTCTCCCTTACTTGTGTTGTTTTTTTTAATTATAATCATTCAGGTGTGACTGGTAAACTGGTGAACTGTCTTTAAACTTCATTTCACCCCAAAACATTGGGTAACGCTTTGAAGTTAATTAACTCTAAATACAGAGTCAGATATTTGGGTGCTAAATATTCATGAGTGTTTCACAGATGTTAATGGGTTTTTAAAGAATCTTGGCAAAACATTTGGGGAAGTTTCTGTAGCCAGACTTCCCACACAGCCTCTGTGTGTCTCTTCTATTGCCAGGTATGCTGACTTTATGAAATTATTTTTTAACTTTGTATTTGTATTTGCATTTATCTGCGTTTATATGTTATGCTAATCAGTTGTGTTTTGTATTCAATTTTTGATTCATTCTAAGTGTTGTTTTACCTGCCTGGCAAAATAAATGTTAACCCTTTTTGATTAATTCTGGAGTTTTGTGAATTCATTGTATCCATTAGATTACGAGGAATCTTCGTTACCCTTAAAGTACGGCATAAATTAAATTGATTAATAGGCTCATTTGATTATACGTAGCCATAGCGTGCTGATAACATGTAGACCTTTTAGTCATTTAACAACTGATAGCAGCAAGTTGCAAGGGCTTGGCTAAAGATGTGTTCTTTTAGGACTAGGTGAGTGTTATGCAACCAGCCTAAATACTAGTTAATCCTGCATCCTCTGACTATTTTCAGAGTGTCGACATATTATCCGTGAGAAGAAGCGCAAACCCGGGGCGTGAAACTCTGAGCGACGTTGGTCCCTAATGAACGAACAAATTTAAATTTTCGGACCCCAGAAAATATCAAATTCTAAATTAAAATCACAACCAATAACATGATCAGCTAAAAACGTAAATGATGAATTTATAAAATTGAAATTGGAGTCAGATTAAAATACGCATCAAGTCAGATATAAAATTGGTCAACAAATTTTAATGAAATAAAATAACTCTTTCCAGAAGCGTCCGAAAAGGCATACACGCAGAATTCCTTCGACCAAAACACTGGACTCCGTCATTGGACCGGTGGGTGGAATCTTACAACCTTCTGTTTTACAACCAAATAAAAATAATGTTTCCCATTCCTCATCAACGACCTCATTTTCAATCCCCTTTTCATTTAGGATTTCTTTAATTTTTCCAATAAAAACATTCTAACTCCTTAGCAACCGCATAGCAACACCTCAGCAACCAAGCTGTATAAAAGTAAATGGTTTATTAACTAAAGATTTTAAAAAAACAAGATCGATAAGACAAGGATGTCCAATGTCAGCACTACTATACACACTTGTATCTGAAACATTGGGATTAGCAATTGATAATGAAAAGCAAATAAGAGGATTATATATAAAAGGAAAATATTTTAGTATGCTGATAATACCACTTTAATAGTAAAAGATAATAAAAGTATTGAAAAAGTAGAGGAAATTTTAAACAGATAATGTAAAGGAACAGGAGCAAAAATGAATAAGGAAAAACGTAAATACATGAGACTGGGGAAAATAAATGTTTTACCAGAAAAAATAAAATTTAAAGAGGAGAAATTTTAGGTATAAGGGTTGGTGAAAATGAAAATGAAACAAGGAATTTAATGTGGGAGGAAGTTTTAAAGGGAATGGATAAAAGATTACATTTCTGGAAATTAAGAGGTTTGTTTTTAAAGGGGAAAGTTTTAGTTTTAAGTTCTTTATTTTTAGCAAAAATGTGGTATGTTTTAGGTACAGTGAGTTTGCCAATGTGTGTGTATAAAAAGATAAAAGCTATTGTTTTAGATTTCTTATGGGATGGAAAACCTTCCAAAATAGCTTATAACACCATGATTGGTAAAGTAGAAAAAGGAGGCTTAGGTTTAATTGATCCACTAATCAGAATGAAAAGCATAAGAATTAACACTGTAAATAAATATTGGAAAGAAGAAAAACATGTATGGAAAGATGTGATGAGATATTTTTTAAATAAATGTGGGGAAATACAAGAATATATATTATGGATGAAACCCAAAGAGAATATGATGAATAAAGTTCCAGAATTCTATAAAGAGGTTATTAAAGCATGGGGAGATTTTAGAAAGCATATTGATTGTTCATTTAGTAAAGAAGAGATTTTAAAGCAACCGCTGTTTTTAAATGAATACATTAAAGAAGGGAATAATACTATTTTTTATAAGAAATGGTTTAATGCAGGAATAAAGCAAATTAAAGATATCTTATATGAAGTGATACCTGGTTAGGTACAGGTGCAAGTAATAAAAGATGCAATAATAGAAAACTATAAAAACGAAACTACAAGAGCTTTTGAAAATCAATTTAACAACACCAAAAGAATGGGAAAAAAAAGATAGAAAATAAATTGGAAATGCACAGCGATGAAGGAAGGGTAATTAACTTTAAAGAAAATCAATATGCTTTCAAAGATGGTATACTGAAAATGTTTTATTCTTGTTTACGTAAAGATGTGTTTGTTACACCCATAACAGAAGAGTATTGGAAAAAAATATATCCCAATATCGAAAAGAAGGAAATAT